ATAGAGAGAGAGAGAGAGAGAGAGAGAGAGAGAGAGAGAGAGCCTACTAAACTATTGTTCTCATTTATAGAATTTTTTCAAGTTAGAATCAGGAAAAAGTTTGTAGGGATAACCTAAGGCTGAAAAGTTTCTAGTTATAAAGTGCTTTGATCTTCCTCAAATGAGTACTATTAAAAAAAAAAAACCTCAATTGACAGCAATCTTATCTCAATGTCCAGAAATAAGTCATGGGTAATTTTTCCTACTACTCATGACATAAATAACAGATTCTCAATCCAGTTATTGCTAACGTCAGAAAGGAAATATCGCATACAAAGTATTTTTAAGATATGTACTAAAAGTTGATTATTTGCCTAATAACTAGATTGTGATTAACTCATTTTATTTGGACAAGACAAGAGAGAAATGAATAGAGTACTGAGCAGTTCTAAGAGATTTTCATTTTAATCATGGACCTATTTTTAGAATCTAGACTCAATACTGATATCCACTAACAAAGGAACTATGTGACATTAAGAAAGTTCAGTTCATGAGACCAAACTAAACACTTCTATGGAACATATTTAGAGTAAAATGATCACCAGGAGGGAATAGGGAGGGGGTAGGTCTGTTTTTTCTTTTTTAACACTACCATAGGACAAAGCAGAGAGGGGCCTATGTCCACAAGCCTCTGAGTTGAAACTTAAAACATTTTTAGGTTAAAGGGCTTAAATTACCTGAGAAAACGGAACAAAGAAATCATTGAAAATCTACCTATATGTCAAGAACTGCCTATACAATTAAAAGATATCAGAAAAATTTTATATACATTTTTTATTAAAAGAATGTTAAAACTGGAACAGAATATATAGACCCAATTAATGTTTTTCTGATAGATTAAGTACTCTACCCAAAGTCGTAATGATTAATATTGTACAAGGCCTTTAAGTATAATCATAGCTTAGTTCATATGAAATACAGTAGAAATTAGTCTATTTTGATGTTAATTAAAACTTCATGGCTACAATATGCAAAACCTTAGGAATTTTTTTTATCACCTTAATTTCTTTATTAACTCAAAAGTGAAAAAGGGAACTTACTGCGGCAATCATAATTGCATTATCCAAAAAGCCAAACCCTACGAAAGGTATCGCATTGTGGATGAATACTGGAAAACAACGAAAACAGAAAAACTTAGTTTAAGCCTTCTTCATTAGAACAACAACGAAAACCAACCCCATATGGTTAAGGTCTCCTAAATAGGTTTGATCTTGTTTGGAATTTATTTTTCATTCCCCATAGGCGTTAATCCTGCAATAGCTAGAAATATAACGACGTGGTAGAAGCCACACTGGGGTTAGGGCAGTAACAGATAGCATGTACAAACGACTGTGTTTTCTTACTGGCAATGCATAACATACGTATATATATGCTGAATGGCTGAACAAATTAGTAAATACATATAAATACTGTTTTACGTATTTGCTATTGACATCAAACTGCCTAAACACATGCCTAAACACTGGCAACATAAAATTGGTATCAGAATTAGCAATGATGAAATATCCCTTGAATCAAATTTGAGGGAAGCTATCTGGTCACGCTTACTTACAAGCCAACATTAGAAACTATGGCTATCTGATCTATGAGCGGACTTTCTCCTGCTAGCATCATTATCCATAAATGCTTTCTCTAACTATAGACAAGTAATATTTTAGTCAAATAAAATACATAACTTAGCTCCCTTCCAAGGACATGCTTTAATTCATGTAACTAGTACATAGCCTGAATGATCTGAAATAACAGATGTGTAACTAGGAAGAATACCTATACATTTTATATGCACAGCCTCACTTTTTATACTTGCATCCATTTTCAGCACACTGTAAAATGCGTAGCACGTACCAGATACTCAATAAATAGCAATTAAAAGTTGAGCATCACTGACCTACAAAGGAAGATAAAAGGTGGCAGTAGTTAGAAGACTTTATTCTAATTAATCTGTAAAACTGCCAGGGTACCATCAACATTAGTGGAACTGAGGACTTATTTTCAGATAAACATAAAAATTCTTGAAGTTTTATAGCATGTCCCGCCCCAAAAAAGTCCCTTTCCTCAGGTTTTTTTCTTTCCCCCCATTAATTTAAGTAAACCCACAAAAACCATCACCAGGAGTTATGAAAGTTTAATATTACTTCGATAAATTCTACACTGAACAGGGAAGGCTAACTACTAGCAGCTTAAAAAAAAAAAAAGATGCAACAGTAACAACAAAAATCATACTTCTACTCTCAAAGATTAAAATCAAAGTAAAATCCAGGCCGATCTTACAGACAGTGTTTATAGGTTTGGTTTTAAACCACTACAATAAAGCAAATAGTGCGTAAAGTGAGCCATACGACTATTTCTGTTTTCCAGTGCAATTAATTATGTTGCACTATTCTGCAGTCTATACTACAAGGTTGCTATGCATTCTTATTGACTCAGTGGCAATAACGGATCTAATTTTTTGGTTGTGTGTAGCCCTATGACGTGTAATACCACTATGAAGAATTTTGAGACATGTGAGAATGAGCAAAATGTGACACAGGCACAAAGTGAGAAAACTGGCACCAGTAGACATGTTTGATGTAGGGTTTCCACAAACCTGTAATTTGTAAAACAAACAAAACACACTATTTGTAAAGTGCAATAAAATGAGATATGACTGTAGTATAGATACACGTATATCCTAGATAATTTCAGATTTCTTTTTGTTACGGATTTAATTCAGTCCTCCAAAATATAAGGGGGCTTCAAAAGATAGGTGGAAAAATAGAATGAAAAGATGTGATTTTTCCACAAACTTTTGGAAGGAGCCTCCTTTGTGTGGTAGTCTAACCACTATGCCTTCAGTAATAAAGCCATTTGGGGATGGGCTGTCTTTGTTACATTAAGGAGGCAGGATGGTGTAGGTTATATCTTCAGATGCAGAATTAGTATAGGGTGGATCTTTAGTCAATCTCTTGTAAGATATAAAAGAAATTAAACAATAGAGGCAGATGGAGTAAAACAAATGCCAAGACACACAGAGATCTCCAAAGAATTAGGAGGCAGAACCTGAAGAGACATGGATCTTCCTCCAGAACCAACCGAGAGAGCAAGGCTTCACCTAGACCCAGCGGCCTGACTTTGAATTCCTAGCCTCCTCAACTGTGAGAAGACAAGTATCCATTTAATAAAGTAATTCATTTGAGGCTTTTGTTAGGGCAGCACTAGATAACTGACAGCATTTGGTCCTAGAAGAGTGGGATGTTGCATGGCTAGAAGTGGTTTGGGATTAGGTAATGAATAGAGGCTTAAAAGTTGTAAGGGGCCCAAGAGTAAAAACCTACATTGTCTTGAAGTGTAGAATCATAAACAACAAAGGCGATCCTGGTGAGGAAAAGAGGGTTACAGAGAAAGCTTCAATCTTCTTAAAGAATGTATGGTAACAACAACAGAATGTTGAGAGAAACGTGGATTACAAATGTGTTTCTGGTGAGGTTTTAAAGGAAAATGATGAATATGTACGTGATTGAGTCATGGAGAGCAGGTGATACTTCTTATGCAGTGTCAAAAAGGCTGTCTGAATTATGTTCATTTAGTGGAATATGGAACTTGGAAGTGATGAACTTGGATACTGGCTGATGAGATTCCTAAGCAAGATCCTAAATGGGCTACATAGTTTTTCCTTGCTGATTGTAGTAAAATGCAAGAAAAATGAAATCTCTGTCAATTCACTTCTGGAATGTGGAGCTGCCATTAAAGACAGGGAATGAACCTAACACCCAAAGCTACAGGGGCAGGTCTGCCATGCTCATGGGGCAGAAGAATAGGGCCTTCAGGACCCAGGATGTGGGTCTGCTCCTCAGAATAAACGAAGAATTAGGCTATCTAAAGCCAAGAGAGCACTGCTGGCACCCCAGAGGGCCCGAACGGTGGATCTGAAGCCCAGAATTGGAGGCCTCTACTGTAACCTTCAGAGAAAAGAGAATTCTTTTTAAGTCTTGAAAGTTAATCCAATTTTTTTTGCTGGGGGTTTAGAGTTACGTGATGTCCATTACCTCTTCTTTCCCTCCAATTTTGCCCATTTGTAACAGAAATCATCTACCTTGTGCCTGTTCTACCATTGTATTTTGAAAGCAGATAACTTGTATTCTACATATCAGAGGTTCACAGATGAAGAGATATTCTGCCCCAGAATGGAATATGCCTAAAGTCACACCCTGCTGGGAAAATCATCAGAGCATAAAGATTGAAGGAAGGCTTATTAACAACCTGCAGTATGCAGATAACACACCTCGAATGCTCAAAGTGTGAAGGAAATGAAGCACTTGCTGATGAGATCAAGAACTGTAGCCTTCAGTACGGATTACAACTCAATGTAAGGAAGACCAACATTCTCACAACTTAATCAATAGGTAACATCATAAATGGAGAAAACGTTGAAGTTGTCAAGGATTTTATCTTACTTGGATCCACAATCAATGCTCATAGAAACAGCAGTTAAGAGAACAAAAGATGTTTTGTATTATGTAAATCTGCTGCACAAGATCTCTTTAGAGTTTTTAAGAGCAAGGATGTTAATTTGAGGGCCAAAATGCACCCAATTAGCCAACTCAAGCCATGGTATTCTCTACTGCATCATATGCATGTGAATGCTGGACACTGAATAAGTAAGACCATAGAACAGTGGTTCTTAACCTTCCTAATGCTGTAACCCTTTAATACAGTTAATCATGTTGTGGTGAACCCCCAACCATAAAATTATTTTCGTGCTACTTCATAACTGTAATTTTGCTACTGTTAGGAATCAGGTGACCCCTGTGAAAGGGTCGTTCAACCCCACAGGTTGCGTTAGTCCAGGTTGACTAGAGAAACAAATTCATAGACACTCATATGTGTATAAGAAAGAGCTTTATATAAAAGAGCAATTGTATATTGAGAAAACCTCACCATCCATTCCAGATCAAGTCCTTAAGTCTGATATTAGTCCATTTGCCCGATATTAGTCCACAAATTCCTCTTTACACTCACACAGCACATGCAATGATACAGAATGCAGGAAGATCTTAGGCCTCTCTCTGGGAGATATTTATCTCCATTGTACCTCCAAAATAAGGTCATCAAGCTGCGACCTGAGTGACAGGCTAGACTCCATCCCTTCACTCACGTTAATGGGAGAGTATGTAACTGCTACTGACCACCCCTTGTCAACTTGGCACTTTTACACAACTCTTTAGCCACATACAGTTTTTACACAAAAACAATAATAATATCATATCTGTACCTAACAGGATAAAACTAAAATGCATACAATTCAATATGGGCCAAAGCCTCATTTAAACATAATATTCTGTAAGTGGACAACACAACATTATTCTATGCCTAACAAATGCAGTTATGTGAAGACCTACACCTTAATCCTATAATCCTATGAATATATTCCCCCACCTATGAAAGTTTATAAGCCAGCCACTTCATGCCTTTATCCGTCAAATTTTGGATATCCAATTTCTATACTGCCCACTTAAACGAACCCAGTGCTCTGAGAAGAAAATCAAATCCTTTGATGTGAAGAATCTTCATTTGAGTTGAAACCTTGTGAGTCCACATCTATAAGCCAAGTCAAATCAGGACAGGCCACCCATAAAGTCAGCAGTAATAGGTACCAATTCACAGGTTCAAAAGTGATCTTCATCTGGTCGGGTTCTGGTCAATTCAACGTGGGCTGTCTCACCAAATGCCCATTGGCCACCTCATCTTTGGGTCATAGGCATTGTCACAAATTCTCAACAACTCTAGCGCCCTTAGGCTAGGTCATGAACTTGGGCCAAGCTAACCCATGGATCGTGTTGCTAGAGCTTGAGGCTCCTTCAAGATCTGCTTCACAATGCTGATGCATAGACTGCTTGAGCTTGAAGCTGGTGGATCCTGTAGCCTTGCATTGCTTGAGTTCGATATCCCATCTGGACCTGCTTCGCTAAGCTCCCCAGCTACTGACTATTGGTGACCCACCCTGCTGTGTGCTGCTGCCTGTGGGCAGACTCTGCTTGCCTTGCCCAAGGGAGGACTCTGCTGTCTGCTTCCTTGACCATGTACCCAACAGCCCACTGAGTTGAAGGACTTCCAGTATATTAACTGTTCCACACAAGTGAGTTGAACTGAACCCTCTGTACTGCCTGAGTCGACTGATTAGCTGTTATATTCCTTCTCGATGTACAAACCTATCTATATCTATCTGTCTGTCTGTCTGTCTGTTTATCTATCTATAAAATCAAAAGGGTTTTGTTTCTCTAGAGAACCCTACCTAACATAATAGCCCTCAAGGAGTTTAGTCATATAAACATAGCCACAAAAATAGTAAATTTCAATATGACTTTAAAAATACAATGCTAATAGTATATATATAGTGCTATGGATAGATTACATTAATCTAGGTTAGGAGAGTCAGAGATTGCCTGAGGAAAATAAAACTTAAAGGATTCCTACATTGTTTCAGCATTTGAGAAAAGGTATTAATTTTTAATGTATATTTTCTTCTACTACACGAAAGGAAAAAAAACGGCTATTACATTTTTGTTGTTGTTTCCATGAGATGCTTGCTCTCTAGTACGTAACTTAATCTTACTTTTTGTGATTTCTCCAATTTCCTTTGGGAAATATTCCTCTATAACTCAGCTATTGTTAGCAAATCACATCTACTATTTAACGTTAATTTACAACCCACTCAAATTCAAAGTTAAATAAGTCTCACCTTCCTTTGTCTTTATAATAAAATCCCAACATGTTTTATGTTAATTCAATGTTCACCTTAAATAATGTTCCCTTTCATTCTAGAGTTAAAAAAAAAAACCAAGTCAGCAGTGGATTCTCCTTCTTGCTGCTGTGAAATGAACTTCACAGCCTTCATTACTGCAAATAATTAGCCGGCACTATTTTCTCTACCAGAACTGTTCTAGCTAGTTTTTCCGGTAGAAATTCTAATTCTGTTGAGACTCAACTTAAGCCTAAACTAAATGTACCCTGTATGAGGAGAATTAAGAAAACTGCTTTATATTCTGTTTCTAACTCAAACCAAACTCACTGCAATCTAGTCGATGCTGACTCATAGCAACCCTATAGGGCAGGGAGGACCTGCCCTGTGAGTTTCCCAGACTGCCATTCTGCAAGAGTAGAAAGCCTCATCTGATGGTTTCTAACTGCAGACCTTGTGGTTAGCAGCCCAACCCTTAACCACTATGCTACCAGGGCTCCTAATTCTATTTCTAGATGATATCCTAACAATACAGAGCTTTGAAGGAGATGTGAAATATCCCATAATATTGTGATAACATCTTAAAACATGTTTATAAACTTTGTTCTTCAGCATAAAGAATAGGACAATCCACTTATCTGGAGAGCTCTAATTTACTGACTCCTAAGTTCTACGGATGAATAGCACAAGTTATTTCCAGTCCAAGAGTGAATGCACAAATATTTAACAATTATAAACCATTACCATATCTCAGCTGTCCTGGAGTAGGTGGTGGAGCTTCCAATTTTTCTAAAAAGAAAAAGAAGGGTGTGGGACAAGAATTAGGTAATATTGCATGATCCCCGCCCCACCCTCCGGCCCATGTAACACAATGAAGAAAGCAACAGCAGATTTATACAGTGGGAGAATACCAGAGTCTATTCAGAAATTACCTTAATGGACTGCAGCCATCCATACAGATAATATCAACTGGTATAGCATAGATTACCAGGCTAGAAACAAAATCGAGCTCTATTTGCAACCCCATCTTGGACCCCATGCCCCGGCTAAGTCATTTTTTAAAGTGCTTCCATCTATTTAAATGAGACTATATTCATCAGTTATGGAAAAGAAACACAAGAAATGACTTCAACAGATAGCTACCATTCCTTAAAAAATGGCAACCCTACAGGACTTCAAAGTATGTCTAAGTAATACATGGAAGGGGAAAATGAATATTCAAGTATACCTAGATATCTTAAAAATAGGAAAATACTTTTAAAGCAACTTATTACAATGATTTCTCTGGATTGTTTCCTGATCCTAAGTAATCTCCCCTCCCTAACAATAAATACACTGAGTATTTCCTACTTTTGAAACCTAAACTATTGAATGCTGTTGTCATTAGGTGCTCCAATTCATAGCACAGGGACCCTATGCACAATAAAATGAAACACTCATAAACCTTGCCATGTTTGGACACATTGTTGCAGTCACTGTCAGTTCATCTGGTTGAGGGTCTTCCTCTTTATTCTTGACCCTTACTTTACCAAGCACGATGCCCTTCCTCAGAGACTGGTCTTTCCTGATAACAAATCCACAATAGGTGAGATGGTCTCACCATCCTCACTTCCAAGGAGCATTTTGATTGTGCTTCTTCCGAAGCAGAGTTGTCCATTCCTCTGGAAGTCCATAGTATATTCACTATTCTTTGCCAACTCCATAATTCAAAGGCCTCAATTATTTTTCGTTTTACTTATTCAGGGTTCAACTTTCACAAGTATATAAGATTGAATTTACTGAAAAATATGGTTTATTTCACCTACATGTCATTCCTTGAAATGTTATCTTTAGGGATAGGTGTAACACATCTTTTGAGATACACATATAAAAAAATACATATACGCATACACAGACATATACATACATAAAAAGGTAGAATTTAAAGTCACAAAGAGCAACATAAAATAAGCTGTTTATTACAGATGTCAAAAATTACAAAAAATTTATCCACATAAAAGCCAAATCATTTTTAAATGTCATCATTATATATATATTTTTAACAGCAATTATTTAAATTGCATAGCAATAACTATATGCCCATCTGCATAAATGGTAGCATAAACAATGGGAAAATGGTAGGGAATTCTACTTTCTTCCTCAACCAATACAGTAGAATTAATTGATAATTTATAGAGAAGAACTCATACTGTGGATCATTTTGCTCTAAAGATACAGCCCAACAAGATGGTCCAAGGATATTTATTAAAAAGATACTCATTTTCTAAATTTTTTCTTTTTTTAAAACAATGTAAGATTAAGGAATTTAAGTAAAAAACAAAACTAAAACTAAACAGCAAATTAATCTCCAAACCAAAAAAATCAAACTCACTGCCATCAAGTTAATTCTGACTCGTAGAGACCACATAGTACAGAGTAGAACTGCTCCTTAGGGTTTCCCAGGCTTTATATCTTTGCAGAAGCAGGGGGCCTGATCTCTCTCCCTCAGAGCAGCTGGTAGGTTTGACTGGCCAAACTTCCAGGTCAATTTAGGGACTAACCGTCTCAAGTGCCCATAATTCTGACCACTATGAATAATTGCTCAGATCTTTAAGAGAATAAAAGTTCAAGGGAGAAATTTATAATAAATATACAACACATTAAAATATATAAACTAAAATATAAACCATGCTGCATGCAAGATAATTTAAGTCTTATGAAATACCATAAAGTCAAGCTTGCATTAAAAAGGAAGATAAAGATACACAAGAACATGGCTAGAAAAGAAACAAAATAAAAGGGTTAAGTAATATACTTTTTAAAAACCTGACATTCAAAACTGTTAAATGAAAACTTGTTCATTATAAATAGCAATAGCAATGAAAATGTGCTTTTAAAATTAATGCAAGTCAATTCACAAGCCACTTAAAATTGTATAATTATAAAAGGATTTTTAAATGATTTTTTTCTAAATACAAGTATATGCTTTCAATAAAACCAAATAAGAGTCTGGGTGTGATTTTCTCATTTTATTTAGCATAAAAGTGGTGACTGCAATACAGAAAATTATGTAGAAAAGAAATTTCCTCTTCCATCTTATAAGACCTAAGCTGTCACCTTATTAACCTAGTAAGGAATTAATTATGGGAACTGTAACCTCTCTGAAAACTAGATCAGCTTCTGGTTTACTTACAGTGAAGCTTCAGTTCCTAACGGTGCAACAGCTGGGAACAGGAGTTGCCAGTAGTATGATGAAAAGAGAAGAAGCCTGGTGTCAGTGGATAAGCGGCGCTAGGCTGCTAACTGAAAGGACAGTAGGTTGAACCCACCAGAAGCTCCTAAGGAGAAAGATATGGCAATCTGCTTGCTTCTGTGATTACAGCTTTGCAGACCCATAGAGGGAAGTTCCAGTCTATCCTATTGGGTCATATGGACAATAAGTCAGAAGCGATGCAATGGCAATGGATTTGATTTTGTTGGCTTATGATGGTAAAAATATTGTGCCCAATTAATCACCACCTTTATGAATACATTCATGTACTAATTTGTTAATTGAAAAATATTCTTACTTTGACTCAAGTAGCAATAAAATATAAAGCCAGACACACACATATTATGCCTCTATATTTCTCTGAAGTCCTTTGTTGTGCTTTCCCTCTTTATATATATTATATATATTCAGCCTAAAGAAACTGGGTTGTATTTAAACCCTCATTTTCTCAAAATTTCCAATGGTCCATAAAATATTGTTGATCCCTTATATTACGGTATGTTTCTTAAGCAATGTATCTAAGTTAAACAGTAATCAAAAACAAATGACATATGGGCACAGATATTCTGGCTGTAATTTTTATACCTCTCTCTACTCCCCACATCAAACTTGCTCATTTACTCACATACGTGTGTAAGCTCGTGGGCATGCACACGCACGCGCACACACACACACACTCTCTCACTAACACTACACCATATAACATAAATTAGATATCAAACTATCCTATCAAAACGTATGAAGCGTGAATCTTAAAAAAAAAAAAGTCTTTATGGATTGCATTAAGAGGGCCAATATAAGGCTTTCAAACTATTCAAAAATGTATTTTCCAAATACTGAATGTTTACAGATGTTATTATTATACTGTTATTTAAATATAATTTATTTCTGCTTTATTCCTTTCCTGTTCATCTAGAAAAATTCAGTGATGTTTCTTACTCCTCACTTGCTGAGGTACCACAACAATTTTAAAAACGTACTATTTAAATACAAATATAAACAAATTTATGGCAGGGCTTTATTTCTTGTTAATATCAGAAATTTAATTGTTCAGTTAGTTCAGCATGCAATTATTAATCCAACATATCTACACAGTCAATGATTAGACAATAAAGATAAGTATCCTTAGACAATCTAAAATTCTGAAGCATAAAAAGAAAAGGACTATCAGCATGACCAAAGCATTCTATTTCAAATAAGCAGGCCATCTTGTCACACAGGTGCTTCGCTACTTGCATGAAACACCCGACAAACCATCACTACTGGAAGACTGTACTGTACCAAAACCATCAGGGCTCTGGGCTGGTGATAGCTCCTTCGCGTGCTTCACAATGGCAATCTCAGGTTTGGGATATCTGCATGCTAAAAATTTTTTAAAGTCAAAATGTATTAAAGCGATGAAGTAAATAAAATGTGTATAAATAAAAAACATACGGTAGATGAAATCTGAAAGGCCTGTTATTATACAAGCATCCTAATTTTGTGCTATAGTGTGGGGCCATAAGGATTGTGTGAGCTGAAACCATGCAGAGGGACCTTATAATCAGCAAAACAAAACACAATTGTTCTGTGGTTGTTAAAATATTTGACAAAACATGAAAAATTCTATTATTGCCAGTTACAATGCCTAGTATATAAACAACAGACCTTTTATTATTAGTTGTCAGTAACTGTTGATAGGTTCTGACTCAGAAACAAATTCATAGACACTCTCTTATGGATAGGGAAGAGCTTTATATACAAGAGCAGTTGAATATTGAGAAAACATCCCAGCCCAGTCTAGCTCAGGGTCCTAAGTCTGATATTAGCCTATATGTCTGATACCAATTTATAAAGTCCTCTTCAGACTCATGAAACGCATGCAATGACACCAAATGCAGAAAGAATCCAGGCCAGTGGGTGCAAAGTCTTGTGGATCCAGTGGTGGTAGAAGCATCTCAGTGCTGTCAGGGGTTTCCACGTGGCTCCTGCAGTTCCCAGGGCACAGGGTCTATCCCTGTAGTACCATGTATCTTGTCAGAGTGAACAGAGAGAGAGTGTCTCCAGCCTCCCAGGAGGAAATACAGGAATTCCCAGAACGCTCAGGGGAAGGCCATGCCCACACAGAGGCCTCATTGGCTATAACCCAATTGACAACCTAGACTCCACTCCTTCACTCTTAATCCTCTCAAGTACCAAATTGACACCAGATTGTGTAACTACCACACCACCCTTTTCTTCTAAGTAGCATTCCAACTGTGTTTCTTTTAAGACTGATTTGCTTACACTCCAGGAAAAACACAAAAAGAAACAATGCCATGGAGTTCACTCTAACTCATGACTAATAGCGACCCTATAGGGCAGAGTAAAACAGCCCCTTTGGGTTTCCAAGGCTTTACATTTTTATGGAACAGAAGGTCTCATATTTCTCCTGTGCAATAGATGAAGGTTTCAAACTGCTCTCTCTGGTTAGCAGTCAAATTCACTGCGCCACACGGTGCTCCTCGTTCTTCTGGAAGCTTGTGGTATATTCAATATTCTTTGCTAATAACAAATATATCTACTCTTCTTTTGTCCAGGTTTCATATGAATCTGAGGTAAGTTAAGAGATCATGGCTTGGGTCTGCTAAACCTTAGCC